AGAGAGATCACAGGAGAGGGAGAAGCAAACCCTCTGCTGAGCAGGGAGCCCGACTTGGAGCTTGATCCCAGGACCACAGGATCATGACCTGAGCTGAAGGCAGATGCTCAACCAAGTGAGTCGTCCAGGCGCCCTGCCGTGCAGTCTTTAAACTGTCACCTTTGTGTTGGTGTCTCCCACACCATTTCTTCATTCCTACTTTCTCTGTGGATTTCCAGGCCTGTACTTCTGTCTATAGGACATCTCTAGACTCTTAGGCTGAGCTTACTTTTCTCCTTCTGCTCCAGTTGCTTTCCCATTTTACTTTCCAATTTATACTACTAACATTCTGTCTGGGCGCCTGGGTGGCTCAGTGGTTGAGCATCTGCCTTTGGCTCAGGTCGTGATCCCAGGGTCCTGGTACTGAGTCTCGCATCGGGCTCCCTGAGGGAAGCCTGCTTCTCCCTCTGCCTATGTCTCTGCCTATCTCCGTGTCTCTCATGAATGAATTAACAAAAATTTTTAAAATAACATTCTAGGGGGATCCCTGGGTGGCGCAGTGGTTTGGCGCCTGCCTTTGGCCCAGGGCGCGATCCTGGAGACCCGGGATCGAATCCCACGTCAGGCTCCCGGTGCATGGAGCCTGCTTCTCCCTCTGCCTCTCTCTCTCTCTCTCTCTCTCTGTAACTATCATAAAAAAATAACATTCTATGCATCTGGTTGTAAACCTCTTTCTATCTCTCTCTCTCTTTTTTTAAGGATTTTATTTATTTTTTCGAGAAACAGAGAGGCGGAGAAGCAGACAGAGGGAGAAGCAGGCTCCATGCCGGAAGCCTGACATGGGACTCAATCCCTGGTCTCCAGGATCAGGCCCTGGGCTGAAGGCGGCGCTAAACCGGTGAGCCACCCAGGCTGCCCAAAACCTCTTTCTCCACAGCTCTCAGATTCATTCAGACACAAAGTCCTATAAATTCTACCTCCTAAAGTTCCTTGTTTTTATTTATTTATTTTTAAAGATTTTATTTATTTATCATGATAGTCACAGAGAGAGAGAGAGAGGCAGAGACACAGGCAGAGGGAGAAGCAGGCTCCATGCAGGGAGCCCGACGTGGGATTCGATCCTGGGTCTCCAGGATCGTGCCCCGGGCCAAAGGCAGGTGCCAAACCGCTGCGCCACCCAGGGATCCCAAGTTCCTTCTTTTTAATTCAGGTTCTAATCATCTCTCATCCTAGGTCTTCCTGCTAAAGTGATCTTTTTTTTAAAAAAAGATACCGTGCTGTGTCTCTTCTGATTCTGCAGTGTGAAATTCAGTCTCCAAAAAGAGCATTCCAGGCCTTCCACATTCTAACTCCAGCTTCATTTCCAGCCTCATTTCCTTCATCCCCATCTAACAAACCTGGCTCTGGTAATCCACCCAAAACGTCTTCTAGAAGCACACAATGACTTTTCACCCTCTGTGCTTTATTTCTGCTCTGCTCATAACTGCATTTTTTACCTTTTATATTTTGGATCTCAGGTTCAGAAGGTTGAATTATTGATGCTCTAGTTCATGACATACTATTGTAATTGGTCCTTCCAAAGTCCTTCACCTGTTATTTAGCTGTGCATTGCCCCACAACCTTTCAATGTATTTAATGTCTGTTTTTTTTATTTGCTCCTGTAAGATATCAATTTTTTGTGTGTCTCTATATTTAATTTACATAAATGGTATTGTTATAGATATCATTATTGTTTATCATATTGCTATCGTTATATTGTTATATTGTTATTGATATCATATTGTTTCTTTTTAAATTTAGTACTATGTTTCTAAGCTCTGTCCATGTTGTTAGTCTATTTATTACTTCTGATTGCTGCATAGTACTTCTTGGTGCACACCCAGCACATTTTATCTATCCCCTGAAAATGGACACAGTGAATGTTTTATACCTGAACCCCTGGGCAAGGCCAGAGTTTCATCATTACCTAACACAACAATTCTCAACCCTATCAGACTCAAAATCTTTCTTAAATAACAGAAGTATTATAATGTCTCCTTTATGATTCTGAAATGACATTCACAGATAATATAACCTCTCAGAGAACACACAATGACATCTGCCTCCTGGTATGGTATACCCATCTTTGTGTAATCCCCTCTCCTTGAGTGTGGGCTGTACCTACTTGACTTCTAGTACATAGAATAGGACAGAGTGATGGGATGCCACTTACAAGACTAGGTTACAAAAAAACTGTGGTTTCTGTCTTGGGGGTTCCTGATTCTCTCCTTCATTTGTGCTGAGAGAGGCAAGCTGCCATGTTGCAAGCTGCCATATGGAAAGGACCCTGTGGCAAGAAACTGAGGGAGTTAGTCTACTAACCCAAAGGAATGAATTCCTGCGGACAACCATGTAAATGATTTTGGAAGTGGATCTTTCTTACTTCAGTTGAGACTGCAGCCACAGCCAACATGCTGCCAGCAACATAAGGGACCTTGAGCCAGCTAACCTGCACACAGATTCCTAACCCACAGAAACTGTGGTGAATGTTTGTTTTAAGCCACTAAGTTAGGGGATAATTTGTTATGCAACAATAAATAACAAATATATCTAACTATACAATAATATAAAAATAATATATAATGTCCCATTGTAATATAAAGATAAAATACAGTGAATTATCTGTTTTAATATATGAGTGCTCTGGCTTGAATACACTAGAGAGTATAATGATTTCAGATGCTTGCACCTATATATAGAATCACCATGAATGTAGGGGCTACGAATGCAGAATGATTTCAGTGAGCATGGGCTACTCAGATTATCACAAGTCATGTGGCTTTTGGTGACATTATTTCCTGAAATGGTTCATAGCTTGTTTGATAAGCTCAAAACAAAGTACAATATCTCTCCAATTCTAGGGCACTTGCTATTTTGGGAAAAACTGTCAGTTCATCCCTCCCTATGTGTCTTTATTCCTTACTTTCACACAGAACATTTCACTTCTGACACTTCTGGTCACCAAATGTGTGTTTCTTTTCCCACAGCAAATAGTTCTATGACACCAGCTGGGTGTCCTACAGTCTAATTCAATTCTGACACTATCTACCTGGACATAGTGTTAGATCCCACTGGCTAAGGGCTCAGTCCCACAAAACTGCCTCCCATTTTAGATGCCAATCACAAGTAGGTCCCAGGTTACCCACATGTCTGTCCAACTTGGCTACAAATCAAAAGGTCCCCATGACTTCCTCCCTCTTGGATTTATTTGCTAGAATAGCTCACAGAACTCAGAGAAATATTTATTTAGATGAATAGCCAGATGATGGAGTGAGGTCTGAGAGGGTCCTGAGTGAAGAGCCTCTGTCCCTGTGGAGTTAGGGGTGTGTAATTCTTTCTATAGGTAGATGTGTTCCCCAACCTGGAATGTCTCCAAACTCCGTATTTTTGGGGATTTTTATGCTTCTTGTAAGCATGATCAATCATTTACTACATTTCTAGCTTCTGTCCTCTCTCTGGAAAATGGGAGCTGGGGCTGAAAACTCAAACCTTTCAATCATAGCTTGGTCTTTCTGTTGACCAGCCCCCAACCAGGAGCCCACCCTAAATTGCCCACCCTAAATTGCTTCATGAGAATAAAAAATGCTCCTATGCTCTTATCACTTAGAAATTGCAAGGGTTTTAGAAGCTTTGTGCCAGGAACTGGAAGCAGAGACCAATATATATATATATATATATATATATATATATATATATATATATATATATATATAGTTATCCCACAGTTTCATTCCTAGAAAATGTGAGTTAAAAGCTTAAGACAGGGGATCCCTGGGTGGCTCAGCGGTTTAGCGCCTGCCTTCGGCCCAGGGCATGATCCTGGAGTTCCAGGATCGAGTCCTACCTCGGGCTCCCTGCATGGAGCCTGCTTCTCCCTCTGCCTGTGTCTCTGCTTCTCTCTATATATATCTCTCAGGAATAAATAAATAAATAAGATCTTTAAAAAAAACATAAGACATGTTTAGTATCTAAACAAAGTTAGGTTCTAGGCTCAGATAATTATAGGTTTTTCATTCGCATGAATGTTTAGCAGGGCATTCAGAAATATTGTGGGACAGCTTCTCCTTGTGTGGCATCATGCCTTGCATTGCAGAACATTTGATATTCCTAGCTTTAGCCTTCTAACGCCAGTGGTTTTCCTCATTGTTCTGATCACAAAATTCCCCACAAATATTTAATCCTCAGTTTAAGGGAGTGATGTCTTCCTCTTAAAAACTAGCGGCGAAGGAAAACATACCCAATAATCAGTGTAGTGCTTGGCAATTAATAATAGTGTAACTAGGGATCCCTGAGTGGCGCAGCGGTTTGGTGCCTGCCTTTGGCCCAGGGTGCGATCCTGGGGTTCCGGGATCGAATCCCACGTCGGGCTCCCGGCGCATGGAGCCTGCTTCTCCCTCTGCCTATGTCTCTGCCTCTCTCCCTCCCTCTCTCTCTCTCTCTCTGTGTGAGACTATCATAAAATTAAAAAAAAATAGTGTAAAAATAGTGTAACTAGGGCAGCCCCGGTGGCTCAGCGGTTTAGCGCCACCTTCGGTCCAGGGCCTGATCCTGGAGACCGGGAATCGAGTCCCGTGTCGGGCTCCCTGCAGGGAGCCTGCTTCTCCCTCTGCCTGTGCCTCTGTCTCTGTCTCTCTCTCTCATGAATAAATAAATGAAATCTTTAAAAAAAATAATAGTGTAACTATAGGTTGTTAAAATTGTGTAAACACACTCTTCGGGCATCCCAAGGACCACTGGCACCCCAGTGATGCGTAGCTTCACAACCCCGAATCAGGGAGCGGTGATTCCATACGTAGAAGCCAATTCAGGGCCACAACATACACGCTGCCCAGTCTACGATTTCCTTTTCTTTCCTAATACGTAATCAATCCCTGATCTTGATCACAGAGCCTGCGGCTCATCCCCCTGTCCGCTTGCACCTGCCGGTAAGTCTCCGCGCGATCTGCTCGCGGGTTGGCCGACTAGGCCCCGCCCCTCCCGGCTCGGCCCCGCCCCTCCCGGCGCGTCACCGGAAGTGAGGCAGAGGAAATAGTGAAGCGGCTGCAAGGGAGGCTGCGGCGCTCCTAGGCTGGCCGGCGGCATGGCCGACGAGGAGGAAGACCCTGCTGTGAGTGACCGCCGCCGTTCCCACCCACCCGTTTCTTCATTCCCTGGGGGACAGGAGCGGAGCCTGAGTTCAGATTCACCTTAGCCAGTCCACTCTAGAGAGTTCGGAGACTTCACGCCCAGCTAGCCTTTCCCTTCGGGTTCATCTCTTAGTACGTGGGGCAGGACGTGAAGAGTAGGACGGTGGCTGCTTGCTTGCTTTGGCTTTTGGTGTGTGTTTGCTGGACACTCCGAATCGCCTGGAAAGCCATCCGAGGACAAAGCTAATTGTTTGTTAGCGCGCTTTATGAACCGATACTGCAGCTGATAACAAAACTATGTGCTTACTGTAGAGTTGTGGGAAAATAATGGACCGAAAATCAGGGAACCTGGATTTCAAAATCTCTTTTATCTCTGAGCAAGTTTCTTAACTTTGAGCCTTGGTTTACATGTCAAAAAATGGGGTTCAGGCTTATTGGAGGGAAGTTCCTAGTCCTGTGTAAGCGATGCTTAGTAAATACTAGTTTGCTTACTTTGATTCAGTACCAATTCTTAATAGTAAAAACTGTAGTAATAGACTAACTAGTTGGTTTAAAAAAAAAAAAAAGTATGGTCATTACAACTCTTCCAGGAGAGGCAGTAGGATTATTTGTTAGGGACATCGTAGAAGCCATTCCTGCGTAAGTGGAAAGTTGGACTGGATAGTCATTAAGGTTCTTAAAACGCTGAGATTTCATGATTTTTTGCTGCTTGCTTTAGGCTTTCTGGCACAATATCAGTGTTAGAAATGAAAAAAAAATTAAACGTTAATTATTTAATAATCAAATGCAGCACTTGACATTTCACATATACGTTTTAATTTATAGTTTGAGGAGGAAAATGAAGAAATTGGAGGAGGTGCAGAAGGCGGACAGGGTAAAAGGAAGAGACTTTTTTCTAAAGAATGTAAGTAATATTTGACAATGATTCAATTACAGACAATAAAAACTTTTTTTTTTTTTAAGATTTTACTTATTTATTCATGAGAGACAGAGAGAGAGAGGCAGAGGTAGAAGAAGGCTCCATGCAGGGAGCCGGATGTGGGACTTGATCCTGGGACTTCAGGATCATGCCCTGGGCCAAAGGCAGGTGCTAAACTGCTGAACCACCCAGGGATCCCGACAATAAAAACTTTTAGACATGTTTATTCAAAGTAGATTAATGTTCTCTGTGGGAACAATATTCTCAGACTTGCCTATAAAACGTGTTTAACTTCTGAATCAAATAGTAGTGATCCTAACCCCAATTTGTGTGTGTGTAGGTGGGTGGGTGTGTATATGCACTTTTTCTTTTTAATTGAAGAAATGTGTTCAGTGTTTCAATTCAGGGCCGAAAAACATACCTCCGTTACTTTTTGTGTCCCTTACTATTGCAGCAGAACTCCTTGACTTCAAGTCTAAGGTTATGATGGATCCTGGAACAGGTGCTGATGGTAGGAATTAAGTTGGGCCTTCGGACTAAAGCATTGGACAAGACAGAAAGGTGATGACTAGTGTAAGACATTACAGTGGCATAGAGATTGTAATGTATTGGTTCTCTAGTGTATTCCCTCAATAGATAGGATTGACTTTTTTTGGCAGCAGCAAGAGGGAGAGCTGCTGTTCCTAGTGACAGTCAAAGCTAGTCCCTGAAAGGCACTGTGAGAATGTGCTCTCCATCCTGTGTCTTCTACATGTAGTTATGGCTGAGTAGTGACAAAGGAGGCAGCACATGAATATATGGTTTATTTATGATGAGTTGGACTGAATGATTCCCAAATGCTCTGGAAACTGCAGTCGGTATATATTTATATTTTTTTAATGACTCAAATCCTCCATATCTCAATGTCTCACCTAAAGCTGACCACTCCTTAATCCATCTTTGATACTCTTTATTCTGTTTTTATTTCTTGTATTAGCATAAGAAGGGGATTTCCATGGCAGAGCATCCCAGACTGATGTTTGCATTGTCACTTCTTAGCAGAAATGTTTGTTCTGCTTGGCTTGTTTTATTTTTGTGATGATAAGAGTTTGGAATATTCACAGCCTTCTCCTTGTCTTACTTTAATCTTGTATAATTTATTGGCTGAGATCTGTTATCCGAAACTTTGTTTTTTTTAATTGCTACTTTATAACACAAAGTTTCAAATCATTCACTGGTATTTGTGTCTTTACAAACCCTTTAACCAAATGCAGTTAACATATATACTGGTGAATTATGCTCATCAAAATGTTAATGACAAAGTATCTTCCTCAAATATTTAAGGAAAAATAGTAAGCTTGCAATGGAGAATCCTGGCAGACAAGTAATGTCTAAAGTATTAGCTGATGATCAAAGTCAACATCACCAGTAATGTATAACATCATGTACCTCCAATATGATGCATTAAGAGGGCACCTCACCTGTATGGTACCCTTTCTAGTAATGAGTAACCACAGTCTAATCATGAGAAAACACCAGAGAAACTCAAATTGGAGAACATTCTACACGATCACTAACCAGAATTCTTCCCAAGGGTCAAGGTCATGAAAAATGACCTTAATTTGAGAAACTGTCACTGATCAATGGAAAGTAAGGAGGCATGATAACTAAATAGTGTGGGATCCTGAAATAGAAAGAGGACATTAGTTGAAAAACCAGTACTGGGGATCCCTGGGTGGCTCAGTGGTTTAGCGCCTGCCTTTGGCTCAAGGTAGGATCCTGGAGTCCTGGAATCGAGTTTTGCGTCGGGCTCCTGGCATGGAGCCTGCTTCTCCCTCTTCCTGTGTCTCTGCCCCTCTCTGTCTGTCTGTCTCTCTCTCTCTCTCATAAATAAATAAATAAATAAATAAATAAATAAATAAATAAATCTATAAATCTTTAGGGAAAAAAACTGGTGCAATCTGAGTAAGTTCTGTACTTCTATAAATGTTAATTTCTTAGTTTTGATAAATGTCTGTGGTTCAGTAAGATGTTAAGGGGAAGATGGATATAGGGTATTTGGAAGCCCTTTACTATTTTTGCAACTCTTCTGAAGTAAGTCCGAAATTATCCGCCCCCCCCCCCAAAAAAAAGGAAAAAAAGTAATCAGAATCCAAAAGAGAAAAAAAAAATACTGGCTCTTGTGTTCATTTTTGTACCCCCTATATCTGGACCTAGGCCTGGTGTACTTCATTCTCTTTTCAGTTGGACCAGCTTGTACTCATTTCTTCCTTTGAAGTGTTCTAGGAGATCCTTTTTTTTTTTCCCCCTGTACTTAAAAAAGAGTACTAGTCTTAAGCTAACAGCTTGATGAATTTTAGGTATTTACATATACTTATAATCACCCCCAGATCAAGATACAAAACCTTTTCAACATATGAGAGGTTTTTTTTTTTTTAACATTTATATACTCCTTTCAGAATCCAGTAAAAGTTGATTATTCTTTGCAGAAAAATGTTCATACACAAATAACATAAAATTTTTGCATATAATTTCAGAAGGGCTCAAGGATTTCTCAGAGCATGCCTATAGACTGACTGGGAGTTTAGACTATAGGATGAGAATCTATATGGATCCCATCTGCCTTAAACTACCAAGAAGTGTAATACTGTAGAGGGTAGGAATATAGACTCGAGGCAGATCAGCTGCTTTCAAAAGTAGGTTCCAGGGGCGCCTGGGTGGCTCAGCGGTTGAGCATCTGCCTTTGGCTTAGGGCATGATCCTAGGGTCCCGAGATTGAGTCTCGCATTGGGTTCCTTGTGGGGAGGCTGCTTCTCCCTCTGCCTGTGTCTGCCTCTCTGCATATCTCTCATGAATAAATAAAATCTTAAAAAAAATGTAGGTTCCATCTCTTGCTATCTATGTAACCTTGGGCAAGTCACTTAGGTCAGTCAGTGCCTCAATATTCTCACCTATATAGAATAGGGATAATAATATTATCTACCTCAAAGGATTGTTGTGAGGATTAAATGGGTTATATATGTGAAAGGCTTAAAACTATATGCCCGGTAAATAGCTGTTAGCATTTTTTTTTTAACCCTGTATTAGTTTTTTTTTCTCCTCTTTTGCTTTATTTATTTATTTATTTATTTATTTATTTATTTATTTATTTTTATTTTTTAAAGATTTTATTTATTTATTCGTAGATAGAGAGAGGCAGAGACACAGGCAGAGGGAGAAGCAGGCTCCATGCAGGGAGCCCGACGCGGGATCCCCAGGATCACACCCCAGGGCACAGGTGGCGCCAAACCGCTGCACCACGAGGGCTGCCCTGTTTTGCATTTTTTAATGGTTCTTTCAGATGAAGCCTGAAAAGAGTTTGTTAGCGGAGCATTGATCTAGGAAGTAAACTGTCAAGATTCCACATAGTTTGCTTTCTTCTTTTGATTACTGTGTTCTTCATATAAGTAGTATTTGGAGTATTTTCTCTCATGTCCTTTTTCCCTGTGTTAGTATTAGAAAGGATTTTGCCTTCTCTTTTCTGATGCTCCATGCCCCTCCCACCCATCAACACCATAAACACACAGAACACTCTCAGTAAGGGCTGAGCCATTGGTACTTATCCTGTCACTGCCATGGAGTTTTCTACTTAAAGGTATCCCAGGGTTGTTAGTGAATAGATGATAGAAGTTAGGGAAAGAATATTGATGTCAGGGCTCAGTAACTGGGAGGGAACAGAAGTTCCTACTAGGGAAGAACAGGTAGGAACAGTTGGTTATGAAATGTGGTTAAAATCTTTTACATCAAAGTCCATACTTGAAGACGACAAATACAGTGTAAGTATACGTTTATACAAGTATCTTCTCTAATTTGGTCCATTTCTAATTTGAAAAAAGTATCAGTAAGATTGTTAAAATTGTTCCGGTAAACAAAAATGACCTCTTTTACAGTGCGATGTATGATGTATGGGTTTGGGGATGACCAGAATCCTTATACTGAGTCAGTGGATATTCTTGAAGACCTTGTCATAGAGTTCATCACTGAAATGGTAAGATTTCTTTGTAATTGGTCTTAGTTAATTGAGTAATAGATTTGAAATTCTAGCTTTTAGATAAGACTAGAACTTTGCCATCCTCTTGAAATAAGCTTATCCATTTGAGTGCCTTTTTGTGGAACTTACTGATTATTTATCATTAAAGATACATAGATATGTAAACATACATGTATGTAGTATATGTATACATACAATATTCTACCCTCTCCTGAATTTTATTCCTAAGGACATAATTATAAGATCCTTGAATAAAATATTAAAATATTAACCATAATCCTGTCATCTAATGTAAGTTTCCCCCTTCCAGTATTTATTTAAATGTATACAATGCTTACATAGTGGTAATCATGGTAAATATTTATTTTACTCAGAGTTTTATAGTATGTATTTCTATATTTTAATCACAATTATTTTAATAGTTACATAAAATTCATTTAAGTTGTTTTCTAATATATTTAACCATATCTCTTATATAAATCATTTGCAGATTATTTTTCATTGAATAGGTAATTTTGAATGATCATATTCATGAAATGTCCTCCCATCTCCTTGTATATACTTACAGGGATGGGGATACTGAGTTTGGTTGTGTTCCTTGACTTTATTTATTTATTTTTACTTTATTTCTTTTTTTTTTTTTTTTTTTTTTGTTCCTTGACTTTCTACCTTGTATTATATTATAGATTATTTCTGCATCGGGCTCCCCACAGGGAGCCTGCTTCTCCCTCTGCCTGTGTCTCTGCCCCCCTCTCTCTCTCTCTCTCTAATAAATAAATGAAATCTTAAAAAAAAAAAAGATTATTTCCTTAGTACAGAATAATAGAAGTAAAATTCTTGTGAATTTTCCAGAATATGCATTTTTAAAAATTATTTTCCATTTATAAAAATAATATTAAGTTTAGGAGATATTAAAAGGTTCAGGAAAGAAAATAGAAATCTGCAATCCTTCCACCTAGAAACCACTTATGCTGAGATTTTGCTGAATATTTTCTTGTTTTTGTTTTTGTTTTTTTTAAAGATTTTATTCATGAGAGAGAGAGAGGGGCAGACACAGGCAGAGGGAGAAGCAAGCTCCATGCAGGGAGCCCGATGTGGGACTTGATTCCGGGTCTCCAGGATCACGCCCTGGGCTGAAGGCAGGCACTCAACTGCTGAACCACCCAGGCTGCCCTTCTTGAGTTTTTTTACACGTATTTTTAAACTTTATTAAATTGAAATCATATATTATATTTAGTCTTAGAGCTTGCTTTTTCAACTAGATATGTAGAACTCTGACCCCCAGGTCATTGCATAACACTGTAATATTTTTAATGGCTTCTTAATATTAACTGGATATGCCCAAATTTTTTTATTTAATGCCTTATTAAATACTTAGTTTCCCCTTTTTCAGTCATTCGAAATAATGCTATGATGAACCTTTGTTTTTGCACATGATGAATATGTGATAGGAGATGAGATTTATTTGAATTTGAGAAGACCTACCACTATTTATCAGCTACTGAGACAGAAAACTTTAATGAAATGTGCAGTTAAAAAGAAATTACAGAATTACTTTATATAAATAACATAAAACAATAACAAAAAACAAAAAAGAAACCAATAAATTGGGCAGTCCGGGTGGCTCAGCGGTTTAGCGCCTGCTTTCAGCCCAGAGCATGATCCTGGAGACTCGGGATCGAGTCCCGCATTGGGTTCCCTGTGTGGAGCCTGCTTCTCCCTCTGCCTGTTGTCTCTCTCTCTCTCTGTCTCTCATGAATAAATAAATAAAATCTTAAAAAAAAAATCAATAAATTTGATAGCTTTTATATCCTTAGTATTGTAAGATGTTTATAAACCATTAAGAGAAATGTTGCTGTAATACAGTAGAAAGTGGATAAAGGACATGAATAGAAAGACAATTTACAAATAAATAGCTATAAAAATTAGAAGAGAAAATCTTCAGGTTCACCAATATTAAATAATTGGAAATTAAAAGAGTAAAATACTAGATTTGTTTTAAGTTAACTTATTTCTTTGTAATAGACTCACAAGGCAATGTCAATTGGAAGACAAGGTCGGGTACAAGTTGAAGATATCGTCTTCTTGATTCGAAAGGACCCAAGGAAGTTTGCTAGGGTTAAAGACTTGCTTACTATGAATGAAGAATTGAAACGAGCTAGAAAAGCTTTTGATGAAGCAAATTATGGGTCTTGACACTGTCTGTATTTTCTGAAGCTTCCTTATTTTCTGGGGAAACCGTGTATAATAACTGTATATTTTCCCCAGTAAGGTCCCAGTATCTATCCATGTATATGCAAGATGGAGAAACATAAAGTTTTCAGCTTTTATTTTCAGATCTTCAATTTTAGAGTGAAATTTGAGCCTTGAATTGCCTGCCCTTATATGACTATACTTGAATTACTTGTTGGGTTTTAATGACTACATGTAAGTTGAACTACCTTGCAAACCATGCAGTTCCTTCTGACTTTGACCGTCTAAATGATGAAGTAGTATTTATGTGTTGAGTGTATTTGTGCCTTTGTAGGCTATACAATAGCTGTTTAATATATGAAATCTAAAGGGCACCTTTGATTATGATTGCTAAGATGTTTCATGTATTCTAAAGTTTTTAGACTACAGAAGTCTAAGAAATTATTAAAAGTGAACTGGTTTGCATTTTTTTTTAAAGAAGATAATACAAGAAAATAATAGTGTTTTGGAGGAATGTTTATCGGTCTTAAGATATTTGTTTTTTAATATTCTTTAGATTACAAGAATGATTTTTTTTGTTTTTTTAAATGAAAAGTTTCATGTGAATTCTTCCGTATTGGAAGGCTTTGATTTAAAACCTTTTGGACTTAATAATGAACTAGTTGTCAAGTTTTAAGAGAACTCATTTTCCTAGGTCAGATTAAAACTTCTGAAAATAAATACTTTCAGTAGTAGAAATGGTGTTGCTTAAAAAGCTGATGGCAGGATAAGCATTTGAGATAGTGTTTTATTAACATGTTTGTTAGTACTTGTTCATTGTGGAAATGTGTACTTGACTAAAATCATATATGGCTATGGAAACCACTTTTGTAGTTCAGGATATACCATTTTTGTGTGTGTTAAGCTTATTAAATTATTGCATTTAGATTAAAATAAGAAAACTGCAATTGAGGGGATTACTGAATATTTCTCTGTGAAATAATGTTTTGTGTGCTGCTTATAAACATAAATCAGTATGTAGGAGAATTTCACTTTCTTAACCTGTTGATACAAGGAATAAAATGAAAAATTAGGTTTATAATTGAATTTGTGATTTATCAGCTTTTTCTCCCCATTACTAGTAATATAATTTTGGCTGCTTAATTTCATTAAAAAACGTTTTTTCTATATTATTCTTGTAGTCCTTCTGAATTGATAATGGGATTCAAGATAGCTGGGCTGATCTTTGTGTTATTTAAAAAAGCAAAAACTGGGGTTCCTGGCTGGCACAGTCAGTAGAGCATGTGACTCTCAGTCTCAGGGTCATGAGTTCAAGCCCCATGTTGGACATGGAGCCTACTTTTAAAAAACAAAAAACAAAAAGGAAAATCCAATTGAAAAGCTACTCCAATCTAAGCTGATATCAAGAGTGTGAGTAGAATAATAAGATCTCAGTATATCACTTTTTGTTGATCAGGGTATACTTCACCCTGAAGAAAGAACTGGTAATAACTAGTGGGCAGCCCGGGTGGCTCAGCGGTTTAGGGCTGCCTTCAGCCCAAGGCCTGATCCTGGAGACCCGGGATTGAGTCCCATGTCGGGCTCCCTGCATGGAGCCTGCTTCTCCTTCTGCCTGTGTCTCTGCCTCTCTCTCTCTGATGAATAAATAAATAAAATCTTAAAAAAAAAAATTAGCACTAGGGGAGCTATACTGGTACTTGTCTTAGTTAGCTAGGACCGCTATTACAATATCATAGACTGGACAGCTGAAACAACAGAAATTTACTTTCTCACAGTTCTAGAGGCTGGAAGTCTAAGATCAGAATGCCACCATAGTTGGGATCCAATGAAGGCTCTCCCTGGTAGCTTACAGACAGCTGCCTTCTCACTGTGTCTGTATTTGTCTGAGAGAGCTCTGTTGTTTCTTACTCTTTTTATAAGGGTACCAGTTCTGTCAAATCAGGGTTCCACCCTTACGACATCATTTAACCTTAATAGCCTCCTTAAAAGCCCTATCTCCAATATAGTCAGGTGGAAGGGGAGGGTTAGGGGCTTAAACATAACAAATTTTAGGGGGTTATAGTTTAGTCTATACCAGTGCAATTAATCTTACTATTTCGCCAGTCACACTGGCACATAAGTTTTTTATGGGACCTTGTAGATTGCAAGTGATAGAACTTAAAAATAGCATAAGCAGAAGAGAGGAATTTATTGGTTTATCCAACTGAAACAAGGGAAAGTGGGGATGAAGTTGATTTCCAGAGTTGACTGGATTTAAGAACTTAAGGATTGGGATGCCTAGGTGGCTCAGCGGTTGAGCGTCTGCCTTTGGCTCAGGGCATGATCCTGGGATTCCAGGATTGAGTCCCACATCGGGCTTCCTGCATGGAGCTTGCTTCTCCCTCTATCCATGTCTCTGCCTCTATGTGTGTCTCTCATGAATAAATAAAAACTAAAAAAAAAAAAAAAACAAAACAAAACCCAAAACTTGAGGATCAAGACTGTGTCCATCTTAATCCAAATTTTGGTTTTACTCTCTCAAGAACCTCTGTGTCAAGCGAACATGATAGCAGTTCTAGGGTTTCCATCCATAAAACTGATCCAAGGAGTTACTTCACTTACCAATACAGAAAATCCCCAGGATTGAGGGTAGTAGGTAAGAGCTGAGTATTATTAGTGAGAAAGGGAAAGATAGGCTGGGCAAACAAAAATAACATGTGCATTGACTCGATTCATGAACTTATTTATTTGAATTCTAAACTTTTTTTTTAAAGATTATTCATTTGGGAGAACACGCAAGCGCACGAACTGGGCGAGAGGCAGAGAGAGAGGGAGAAGCAGACTCCCCACTGAGCAGGGTGCTGGATGCAGAACTCTATCCCAGGACCCTGGGATCATGACCTGACCCGAAGGCAGAAACTTAACTGACTGAGCCACCTAGCCTCCCCTACTTACTTGAATTCTAATAGTAAGGTAATATGGCTCCCTTCTAATGTCTAGAGCTACACTGTAATATGGTAGCCACTAGCCACATGGGACTAAATATACTAAATTTACTTAATTCAAATTAAATAAAACGAAACCTTCAATTCCTCAGTTGTACTAGCTGTATTTCAAGTGCTCATGAGGCCCATGCCTAGTGGCTGCAGCATTGAACAGTGCAGATGCAGAACATTTTCATCATCACAGAAAACTATTTGGGTCAGTGCTGATTTGTAGTGTTCAGGTGCTTTTTCTGGAGTCAAGTCACTAAAAAAAAAAAAAAACTTACTATGAAAAATCTCAAGTATACACAACAATAGAATAGTATTTTGAGCCCTTGTCTTCAACAATTAACCTTTGCCAATTTTAATATCTATTCCCCCACCTTTTCGGGGAGAAGGGAGGTATTATAAGGCCAGTCACAGCTTTCATTGTATCATTTCAACTATAAATTCTTCTGTATGTCATCTCTAACAAAAAGTTTTAAAAGATAGCCAAAATACTATTATCATACCTTAACAAAAATTAACATTAATTCCCCAATATTCGATTTAATAATACCCAATCTCTGTTTAAATCTAATTTGTCTCAAAATATCTTTTGGAGTTTGTTTTCTGTGGTTTCTATAACAGATTACTGTAAATTTAGTGACTTAAAACAACACTAAGTCATTATCTTACCAGTTCTTTAGGTCAGAAGTTTGACATAGGCCTCACTGGGGCTTAAATCAAGCTACTGCATTCCTTTCTGAATGTTCTAGGAGAGAACCTGTTTACTTGCCTTTTCTGGCACCCAGAGCCTGAATTCTTTGGCTCTTAGTCCCCTTCTGTCTTCCAAGTTAGCAATGTTCCATCTTCCTTCCATAGTCCTATCTCTCTGACCACTGCTGGGAAAAGTTCTCTGCTTCTAAGGATCCATGGAATTATATTGGACCCATCTGGATAACCCAGAATAACCTCCCCATTTTAAAAGCCTTAATAACTTAATCATACCAGCGAAGACTCTTACCATGTAAAATAACATATTCACAGGTTCTGAGGGTTAGGATGTCAAAGTGTTCGGGAGGAGCTCTTGTTCTACCTCCTACCATCTGTTTGCAATAGAATCTAAACAAGGTGTCACCCATTGCTGTTTGATTACCCATTGCATTGGGTAGGTCTAAATTTCTGTTAATCTCTAATAGCTCTTCCTCCCCCACTTGTTTAAGTGAGGCTCTCTAAAAAATCATACTTTCCTTTTTTGGCTAGCATGTTTATTTGATGGTCAAGCAGAACATCTAATTTATGATTCTCTTGAAATTGGTTTTACTGTATTTAAACTGATTTTCTTAAAAGCTGTAATATTCTCAGTGTAGAAATTTTTAAGTGGGGCAATAGCTCACTTGGCTTCTCATCAGTCGAAAGAAGTGGTGTCTGGAGAGTCGCTTGGCCACTTCCCAAGATGCCTCAGGAGGTTGCATTACTTGGGTGAATATGTAGTCCAGGGTTTGATTTGCATCACTGCAGACTTGGAAACTGATTTCACTCGCAAAAGGAGAGCACATCCATGTTTCAGGGTGGACTTCGAAACCAAGCTTGTAAAACCAATGTATGAACATGGATGCCAATTTATAGATATATGTAAAACTTTCATGGGTTTGACCAGCAAATTCTTCCTCATCCTAGGCAGACAATGTGGGGAAATCAAAACATAAATATGAAGGTAAATCAGAATGAGGGGAGTTAGATGAATGCATTGCTTGGAGCATCAGGTAAGAGAAAGATAAAGTTAATACAGAAACAGGAAGAATGGCTTCCCCCAGAGCTTGAAGCTGAGCGCCATGTTTCCTGAGGAGCAACCTTCAAGATTCCTTTGTTACTAACGCTGGAAACTTGGCTTGAGTTTTTATTTTCAGTGACAATACCCATCCAAGCCTGGTCTGTTTGTGGCTTTCAGGTGGCTTGTATACTTCTACTCTAACTTATTCAAATGTTGAGCTCAGAGTTAATTCAAAGAGGACAATTTTACTTCTAGTATCTTCAGGGAAACTTCAAAATTGCTACCAAGAGCTGATACTTCCCACTGTGCTTGGAAATCATGAACTTTTTTTTTTTTTAAAGATTATGTCTTTATTTGAGAGAGAGAGAGAGAGAGAGAGAGAGGGAGGGAGGAAGGGAGAGCATGAGCAGGGCCTAGGGGCAGAGCAGAAGCAGACTCCCCACTGAGCAGGGAGCCCGACACAGGGCTTGACCCCAGAATACCAAGATCATGACCTGAGCCAAAGGGAGACACTTAGCTGACTGAGCCACCCAGGTGCCCTTTAAAAATAACCTTTTAAGCACTCTGCCTGTATTCCAGAACATTCCCGATTCTCTATACCTGATTTTCTTAGGGTCCCTATGTTTACCTCCTTAACACAGAGACTGAGAGGTGGATGACCAGTGAGCAAGGTGTTAAATGTGTTATAGACTGCTGTTTTTCCTAGATCTTAGTGAATGATTATATGACCTAGACTGTTATATTATAGGATAGGATCACAGAAAACAATTGATATATCAGCAAGTACTTACTAAGCACCTATTTTATTTGAGGCATAGCACAGATATGAGTTGGCTGTATGGTATCTGGATGAGTAGAACTCTAAAGTTATAGAGGTAAAGTAAGGAGCAAATTTCTTTCTTTTTTATAGATTTTATTTATTTATTTATATTTCATTTATTTATTTCACAGAGAGAGCACACAACCACACAAGCAAGGGGAGTGGCAGGCAGAGGGAGAGGGAGAAGCAGGCTCCGTGCTCAGTGAGGAGCCCAAAGCAGGGGTCAATCCCAGGACCTTGGGATCATGACCTAATCTGAAGGCAGACGCTTAACTGGCTAAGCCACCCAGGCACCCCATGAGCAAATTTCTTATATGTTACCAGTAAGAGTTTCAATCCGAACTTTTGTACAAAATCCTAATTCATGTGTAATTTGTAGCATTGAGACTTCGGTTCACATGCTCACTTTATTGTACTTACACAGAAAGCCTGGTAAACTACTTTGAACTTGGGTGTATTCTTTTAGGATAGGAAGAACAAATGGTAAAACATAAAACATTTTGTCATGTGCTTTTGTGTGGCTATTTATTTTTTTAAAGATTTATTTATTTATACAAGAGAAAGAAAGTGGGCACATGTGGGGTGGGTGGGGAGAGGGAGAGAATCTTTAGGCAATTTCCCTGCTGTGTGCTGAGCATAGGCCTGACTGGGTGCTCGATCCCACAACCCTGAGATCAGGACCTGAACAGAAATCAAGAGTCAGATGCTCAACCAACTGAGCCAAGCAGGCACTCCTGTGTGGCAATTTTAGATAAATAACTGTAAATTTAGTAGGAAAGAGCCTATTTAGTTACTGACCAAATTCTAAAAGAGATGCTAATACTGTACTTAATTTCTCTGAAATAGGATTTTTGTAAGTATTTTGGGGGCATGATACCTACCTAGACTCATTTTCATGAATCTCGTGTTTTTCTTTTATCTTTCTAGCAAGTTCTTTTTTTTTTTTTTTTTTTTTAAGATTTTATTTATTTGTTCATGAGAGGCACAAGAGAGAAAAACAGAGACACAGCCAGAGGGAGAAAATGGCTCCATGCAGGGAGCCCCATGTGGGACTCGATCCCGGAGCTCCAGGATCAAGCCCTGAGCCGAAGGCTGACGCTCAACTACTGAGCCACCCAGGCATCTCCCTTTCTAGCAAGTTCTACTAAATAGTTTCAAGATTCTCACTAGTAAGGTATTAACCTTATCCTAAAACAGCCATTCCAAATTATGCTGCTTCATGTGATTGATGTTTTATTAATATTTATTAACCTATAGTTTCCCCTTTTATGGATTTTGACGTATGTCAATGACTTCATTAAGGTAGGCAAAACAAAATATTTTCAAATTTTTATTTTTGTTTTCAATATAACATCCAGGATATTTAATATAAAAAAGCACATCTTGGGTGCCTGGGTGGCAGTCAGTTAAGTGTATGTCTTTGGATCAGGTCAAGATCCCAGGGTCCTGGGATGGAGCTCCTAGTAGGCTCCTTGCTCAGCAGGGAGTCTGCTTCTCCCTCTTCCTTTGCTCCTCCCCTTGCTCCTGGGCGTCCCAATAAGTAAAATCTTAAAAAAAAAAAAAAAAAAGTGCTGGTAGACCCAGGTATTCCACCTACATAATCCTTGAGCCTATTTGAAAGAGAAGCAGCAGTGATGGTATTTTGTTTGTTCTCCCAGAGCCGGCAGTGCCCTGGCTCTAAAGCACACAGCTCTTTGGTGTGTGTATTTACGTGTATGTTTTCTAAGAAGAAGAATGGAACTTTTAAAATAAGTGCTCCTATACCTGCTCAACTTCCCCTGAACAGCTTGAGGCAAGATTTCCTAATTTAAGCTTGTGCTCAGATTCCTTTCCACTGTTTGGAGAAAACCAGAAATGTCTATTTCCCTTTTTAGAAATGAAATTTGAGAATCTTTATTAAAAGGGGTCCATCTTAGCCTATAGGCATTTAAGTCACAAGGTACCATTAATCATTTCCACAAGTTAGAACCTGCATTTTCAAATGATGCCTAACCTAGTTCCTGATCCAGAGTAGGCACTGGATATGTATTTGGTGAATGATTGAGGCAGTACCTCAGAATCTAAGGACAGTCCTTCAACTAAGAAAGCCTTGTCCTTTCTGAACAATTTGCTGCTTTGCAGCAACTAGAGTGAAAGACAAGAAGATCTAATCTTAACCAGTGTGGCTGAGTGTAGAAGGAAAGGTGATACTGTAGTCAAACAGTTATTAAGGTTGTAGTGTAAAACTTGATGTTACATTAGGAAGCGAATATATAGTCAATGCATTTATCACTGAACAAGTGATAAGACATACCAGATGTCTTGTATTTCAGTGTCTGGTTCCTTTCTATCCCCCATTCCCTTTTTCTGGAAATATAATGGTCACACATTTGCTTCTAACAGTTCTGATGACTACTTGTTGAAAATTTAGATCCACATAACACTATATCACAGGATATGGGGGGGGGGGATAAACATGAATTAGACCTCTTATCCTCTCTACCTTGTCAGAATAAGGTCACTTTTTCAAACTAAAAATTCCAGTTGATACACTGAAGTAGAGTCCAAAAAGAAGGGTTTAAGAATCATAATGGTTAAAATCTTGGCTCCCCTACAGATCAGCTGTTTGACCTTGGGCAAATTATTTTCCTTAATTTCTAAAATGGGAATAGTTAACAGGCATCTTAAGGGAGATTGTGAGGCTTAAGTGAGAACATAGGCAAAGCACTTCATGTTATGCTTAATATGAATGCCCAAACAAATCTAGTAACAGATCAGGTTCTTCCTTTTGTGTAGTGCCCTGCCCTTAATAGGTGTCAAATGTTTGTCAGATTGTCCCTGATTAATAACCCTTTGTAGAGCTAGTTGAAAATTTAAATAAATAATGCTTGGTTCTTGCAACTGGTACTGTTTGAGAATTAAGATCAAGAAGTGGGGTACCTGGGTGGGTAAGTGGGTTAACTCGTCTGCCTTTGGCTCAGGCCTTGATCTCAGGGTCCTGAGATCCAGGCCCACATCTGGCTTCCTGCTCCACAGGGAGTCTGCTTCTCCCTCTGCCCCTTAACCCCTGCCACTTCTCTCTCTCTCTCTCTCAAATAAATAAATAAATACAATCTTAAAGAATCAAGAAGCAGATTCTCAGATGAATTATACTGGCAAAAACTATACTGGCATTTCTGGAATATATCTGACCACTTTTTCAATTTAAACATTCTGTAAAATTTTGTCTTGTTTTTTTAATATCAAGACCCTGGATGACATTAACTTGGGTTTATATTTATTTGCCTGTCACTACTTAGAAAGTTCTGAATGAAGGCTTTCTTCTACGAATTAATCAGGACTAGGCAATCCAAGTTGTGCATAAACTGTTTTCCCTGAATTTGTGAATTTTTTTAAAAGATTTTATGTATTTATGAGAGACATACACACACAGAGAGGCGGAGACTCAGGCAGAGGGAGAAGCGGGCTGCATATAGGGAGCCTGATGTGGGTCCCAACCCGGGAATCCGGGATCACGCCTTGAGCCAAAGGCAGGTGCTCAACCGCTGAGCCACCCAGGCCTCCTGTAAATATTTTTCTTAGAACCGTTCCCTCACACAATCGCTTCTTTTATCTTAGGTTGTATTAAATCCTTCCTGTTCAGAAATGTTTTTGATGTTTATTATCACCACTCTCTTTTCCCGAGTGAGCTTCGGGAGAGCTCGCTCTTGGCGTTGGGCCTTTATGAGGACAAGGCTCTTACAGGTTTGTATCACTTTATTAGCTCTTCTACATGGTTATACCCACTGAAAGCTCAATTCAGCTCGGTGAAGCATCACGTATATTTGTGGAATTACTACTGCACCAGTGGGGTAGGAAAGTGAGTTGTCAAGGAGCTTACACCAAGAAGGGTAATAAAAAAACAAACCTGCGAGTCCGGTTAAGTGTTAAGTAACCGGAAAGTGCTCGAAGGCATGTCAGCATCCCAAAAGGAAAAATCAAGAATAGGGCAAATAAAGCTGCTGGAGTTTTCAGGGAGGAAGTGGGGCCTGCCAAGGCGGAGACAGAGGGGAAGGAGGCCCAAGTTATTCCATTAGCCTTTATTAATAAATTGTCGGGAGGACTATCGAGTCGACTCTAAAGCGCAGACGACTCCTCGGTTCCGAGGCGGCGACAGCGCCCTCTGCGCTATTTCGGGACGCGGGGGCCCCGGCCGCGCCCCGGCCGCCGTCTCCCGGCCAATCGGCAGGCCGACCCTCGGGGGGCCGCGGGTCCTCGGAGGCTGGCCCGGCCGCCTGGGCCGCTCCCCACCTCTCAAGCTTGTGCCCGCCCGGCAGGCTCGCCCTTCGGCTCAGGCACCTGGCTGGCCGCCCCTCGGCGGGGTCCTGAGGCGCCTCGGCGGAGCGCGGTGATTGGCTGCAGCTCGGGACTGAGCTCGGCTCGGCCGCTTGACAACCGCAGTCCGCCGGGCTGAGCCGAGCGGCCCTTCGGGAGGGGCGGGCGCGGAGCAGGCCGGGCCGACCGATGGAGTGACGCGCGGGCGGAGCGGGGAGCGCCGACGCCAGCCCGGGCCCAGACCTCCGCCCTCGCGCTCCAGCTGCAGCCCGGAGCCGGCAGTGCCGGGGCCCCGTCCGGGAGCCCTCAGGTGAGTGGACTCCCGGAGGCGGAGGCGGGGTCGGCCGCGCCGCAGCTCGGGTTGCCATGGTCACCGGTCGCCACCTGTCACCACCTGGGCTCGGACTCCGGCCGCCCTCGGCCCGCAGGGCGGCGTGCGCGGCGGGGAGAAGGGTTTCGGGTAGGCTCGGGTGCCGCCTGCCTGGGGGCCGGGGTCGTGGGTGAGGCCCCGCCGCCGGAGGCGGCCCTGGAAGCTGCCGGCCGCTGTTCGGAGACCGCAGCCCCTGGACTCCACCTTCCCGTCTCGGCCGGCCCGGGGCGGGGGGCGGCGACCCGGGAGCGGCGGCGAGCGGCGGCGGGGAGCGGCGGGCGGGCGCAGGCTGGGTGCCCTGTGGCCGCTGCCGAGCGGGAGGGGCTGGCGCTCCGAGCCTTCCGTGCTCGCTCCGCTGCCGGGCCGTGGGACCACCGAGGGGCGTCTGGGCACGCCTGGGCCGCGAGGAGGGGACGAAGCTGCGCGGCGGGCGCGGAGCCGAGCTCGCGTGGGGCGGCTCGGCGCGCCGGGCTTCGGCCTGATCTTACGTCAGTGGTCGTGGGAGCAGCCGCCGGGGGTCCGGGCGGGGGTCGGGGCGGGGGCTGCCTGGGCTGGGGACCGGGCTCCGCTGGGGCGGGGGGCGCCTGGGTAGGAGACGCGGGAGCTGCGGAACTCCTAGGGCTCAGCGGGTCCCGCGTACTGGGGAGAAAGGTCGGGGTCAAGCCCTGCGGCGAGGCCTTGGGCTAAAGGGGCGAGGGCAGGAGTAGGCGGGGGCAGCTCTTGACCAGGGGCTGATGTTTTTCTTCTCTATGCCCAGACGTGCAGTCAGTAACCGCGCATGGTAGCTGAGCCGAGCGTTTTTGGCAACTTGGTTCTCTGCATAATGAAAGGAGAAGTCTTTGTTCCA